GTCAGGGCGGTGGGGCCTTGATGAAGCTGATTTAGTGGGTGCCATCTCTGCCCATGGTGGGACATTTAGAACTAGATGATCTCTAAGGACCCTTCCAACTCAAACCTTTCCATGAATGTGAGAAAATTAGGGGGAAAAAAATAAAAGAAAATATTATTAAGACCCAATTATATAAACTTTTATGTGATCCGAAAATCTTAAAAGAAATAATGTAGTATCCTTAACTGGGTAAGTTCAAGGCCTACTGCGAAGTTATGTGTTAATGGAATTCACTGGCCTTTATAAACATTACAGTACAATTACACAAAGCCCAATTATGCACACAGAACTTACCACAATTGCAGCAGAGTAAAAACAAAGGAAGGAATGGATATTGCCTAATAGCTTAAATTTGAAAGTTTGAATTTGGGGATTTAAATTTAGGTCCATGTGCACATTAGAATGTATGTAACACGTAACATTAAAAGATGAGCCATTATGACTCTTTCCTACTATTTCATCGCCAAATTTAGAATATACACCAATCTTCACCAAGTAAAAAAAAATATTTCCAAGATATGTCAGTCCAGCAACTCAAAACATGACACTAATATTCATGATAACATGTAAACACTTAGAACTAATTTTTTTTTCTTAGAGGAAAAATACTCTCAGGCACGTGGTGTGACCCTTAGGGATGGTCCTCTGCAGGGCCAGGAGTTAGATCCAATGATTCTTGTAGACCTCTTACTCTGTGAGTCTGTGATTTTTTTGATTATGCAATTCTATGAAGACTGGTAAAAAAAAAATATCATTTTTATTGTAAATGATTTGAATACTTTCTTTTTCTCATTATAGGAATTAATAGGGATATAATGTGCTTGTTGCAGCTGGTCAGTCAATGCTGAAACATCCTGTATCCAGGGCTTTCCTACTCTATAAACTTAGTTTGTAAGAAAGCTTACTGATACTGTGCAAAGCTAGGCTTTGTGCGGGCTCAAGGACCAGTTAAATTTTTCAAGGTTTAAATCTAAACACTCCTGGTTTCCAGGAAAATTTGGTGAACTTTACATTTGACTTTTACATGGACAGTAGTAAAGGTTGGGGAGAGATTTAAGGGTATATAGCCCTATTGCTTCAGCATAGGGAACAAGACTTTTTTCCTAATGTTTGTTTGTACTTCACAAGCAGGTGTTGTTTAAAATTATAGAAGACAATCAAAACAGCTTTACTAGATGAGTAACATTATGACAGTTTCTGGGAGAGTCAGTTTTTACCAGGTTTTTACAAAAACAGATTTAAAACATGGGTTTTTTTCCTGCTGTTCCTGTAGGAGATTTCTGCAGAACATCTACTGATTTTCTTTCAAAATGTTATTGAACCACCAGGGTTATTTGTTATGTTTTCATTTACTATAGTGTCATTTTATTTCAGCATTGTCATGTGAATAATAGGCAATCAGGGCTGAAACTTTTCAAAATTGCAGCCCTCTAGATGTTACAATTAAATTAATTACAAACCCAGAATAAACAATTTTAATCACATCAAACATTTCTTCTATATTATACTACTCAATTCTGTTATGATGGAAATCTAAAGCCCATAGAACGCTTCAAGAAAAAATACTACCATTTGTACAAAACTCCCTCTTAGCCTGATTAATAAACTGAACTTCAGAAAATGATGTGCGTGAAAACAGCTGCTCTTGCCAATAATGACATTTTATTTTCAATTTTAGAACTAACACTGTGTCAATCTAAACAATACTTAAGTACATTATGTAAGTATAACAACAGTGACACGACATAAAACAAAATGTACCACATCCAGGAAGAATCAGAAGTAAAGGGTGCTGAGAGGAAGGCAATTGTAGCTGTGGAGCAGCTGGTGATGGACCACTGCCATTAGGAAGAGGAGTGTGAGGAATTGCAGAAGAGTGCAGCCTAAATCTGCCATGCAGATGCCCTGAAAGGTATAACAGAAATTCTGTATAATTCAGTGGCATGGCTTTACAGTACCAGTATTTCATACATGGGCAGGCCTAGCCAGCCGAACAGCTTTTCTAAAAAAGGCAAATTTGACAAAATCACATTCATTGTCTGCAATATGATATTCTTACAGCTTCACTCTATCCATATAGGTAACCATGCACAGGTAACACTGAATTACACTGATCTCTTTCAAAAACATAGCTCCAGAAATATACATTTAAGATGATATTCTTTTCCCCCCCTCCCCTGATCTGTGATCTGCAATAGTAACACCAATGACAGGCACTTATACTAAGCAGCAGTGAAATTGTCAAAATAATTCCTTCTTTTATTTAAGGATCATGGTGAACACTGAGATTTCCAGTTTGGGAAATATTCCAAAACATATTGGCAAACTGAAACTCTTCATGTATTTATATAATGGAAGTTGTCCTTCTTTTTTCACTCCTTATAAATGTGTGTGCGTGAACAGAATTCAGATGAATGGAACAGGATTCTTTCTTGTATCCTTTGAGCCCAAAAGCTACAGAGATTCAAAAGACACTTGGTAACTGTTAGAGACAAAGAGAATTTCATGTCACCAGGATATCTGTGTAGCAGGTGAATTTAGCTGTGCACATGTCAAATTTAGGAAGAATACAGGTAGCAGAGTTGTCCGCCCACAAATATACAGATCAGTGATTCCAGAGTAGAAACTCAAGGAAGCAGCAGTTAACTGTTATACATCCAATTAATCTGCAGATTGCTAATGCAAAATAGAAGACTTTGGGGGTGCAGAAAGTGTCCAGTTGGAAAAGAACACCAGTCACATTCTACCCTCTGATTGACTTTGCTATGACTAAGTACAGTTTCAATTTAGCTAAACTGAGTACCATGAACAAATGAATAGCACTTTCATACTTTTCTTCACATCTTCAGACATTGAAAAGACAGGGATATCCTAGAACACTTTCAGTTTGCAAGCTGAAAAGCCCTCAATGTGTACAATAGTGGTTATGGATTCCAGATATTAGCAATTATATTTCTAAGTGCAAAACAAGGAAAAGGAAAATTAATCCTGAACCTTTATAAATTGCATTGATATCTTTGCCAGAAAACTATGTGAGCAGATGCTAATGCAGTTTAGCAAAAGAAGTGTAGCCCTATATTATACCATCAAGGCAGGAATACTAAAATTGATGTAGCACTTCAGTCCTTCACCGGGAACAAATCTACTTCTCTATATCTAAGTCTTTCACCCATGCTTCTGACTGTCTTCTCATATGTAGATACCATGGGGTGTGTCAAAAACTTTCCCTCATTTTTCTTTCCCAGGTGTAAAAGTTGTAAGGCTGTCCCAGTCTATACCTCCTCCAGAGTGACTAGCAGCGTCTCTATAGCAAATCCTGTGGCTGGCATTTATTTCTTGCCGTCTTCAGCCAGTAAACTCTCTGAAGGATATCTACAGTTCAGGCTTCAGTATGAACACTTGCTGAGAAAAGTCCGTCTTTCTGGATGTACTTCCTGTGAACCAATATTTTAAAGTACAAAATGTTTCAAGTTTGAGATTAAATAAATTGTTTCTTTTTAAGAAAGGGATGTGAATGGATTAAGGAACCAATGCTTTCATAAACTGGTGCTTGTGAGTACCCTTCACATTTTGTAATGGGCCATAATTTTCTTTATGTTGTGTTTTGGACTTTTATTTTCATACTTTTGTATGGTTTGGTGACTTTAAATCTGGACAAAGATTATTTCTTAATCTGGATTTTTAGGCCTGTTTTGTGGTGTGATACCTATTTAACCTAATGTATTGGGTTTGTATGGCCAGGTTTTGGTATAGGAGGGGGTTAGAGGAATGGCTTCTATGAGAAGCTCTCTTGTCCAGCAGAAGCAATGCCAGGTGTCTCCAAGATGGACCTGCTGCTGGCCAAGGCTGGGCCAATTAGAAATGGTGGAAATGCCTCAGCAATAACGTATTTAAGAAGAAGGAAGGAAAAGTTATTGTGCTGATGTCATTGTGCCCAGAGAACATTATGGTGAGAATATGGGAGAGGAACTCCTCTGCAGACACCAAGGTCAGTGCAGGAGGTGCTCCAGGCACTGCAGTGAGATAGATCCCCCTGCAGCCCATGGTGCCGACTGTGGTGAAGCAGCTGTGCCCCTGCCGCCCATGGAGATCCATGGGGATGCAGAAATCCACCTGCAGCCCATGGAGGAGACCCAGGCCAGAGCCAGTGGATGCCTGAGAGGGGGCTGTGACCCCATGGAAGGCCTGTGCTGGAACAGGCTCCCAGCAGGGTCCTGCTGGCCTGTGGAGAGAGGGGCCCATACTGGAGACACAGGCTGTGCCTGAAGGACTGCATCCTGTGGGAGAGTGACACATTGCAGCCGTTTGTGGAAAACTGCAGGATGGACTCATGTTGGAGAAGTTCATGGAGGACTGTCTGCCTTGGCAGGGACCCCACACTGGAGCAGGGGAAGGACTCCTCTCCCTGAGCAGCGGCAGAAACAACGGGTGATGAGCTGACCATAACTCCCATTCCCTGTCTCCCTTTGACACTGGCAAAGGAGGTAAAGCTGGGAAGGAGGGAGGGCTGTGGGGGAGGTGTTTTTAAGGTCTATTTTTGCTTTCCATTATCCTGCTCTTTGTTAGGAATAAATTCAATCGGTATCTCTAAAATTCAAGTCTGTTTTGCCCATGACAGTAGTCAGCGAGTGATCTCTCTCCCAGTCCTATCTCAACACATTAACCCTTTTTGATATTTCCTCTCCCCTGTCCAGTTCCAGAGGAGAGAAATAGAGTGGTTTTGGTGGGTGCCTGGCATCCAGTCAGGGTCAACCCACTACACTTATATACTCTTCTAAATTCTAGGAGTTATTTCTGTAAAATTTTTTGGCTTTTTTTTTGCAATAACTTCCAGAAAGACACAGAAATACTGTTGTGCAGTATCTGAGCTATTGGTTGGTTTACACCTTAGGACGAAATATAAACTCAATGTCTCCTCAATTATGTAATTGATTTTTTAAAATTATTTTATTCCATGTTGTTACTCAAACAGATTACTGCAGGTAATTATTCCACATCTTTGATGGTCTTTCATGTGCCACATTGATGAGTAAAAGTATCAGAATAATATAGAGGAGAATGTAGAGTATAAAAATGTAGATATGAATTACAGACACTGCTTCACAGTCTGAGGGAGAGCAACTGTGCTGTAACTCTTACACCTTAGAGATGTACTCAGCTCATACTTGCTCAGCAAGAAAGAGGGCTGAGATTGAAATATTACTGTGTAGTTTCCAGAATAAATGGACAAACCCATCCTACTCTATGTAAAATGTATTTAAACTTGCCAATTATATTGCTCTCTGAAAAAAACCTCTTTTCCAAGGGAAAAACGAAATTTCCAGCGCTGTCATTTATACATTGCCTTTGGCCCAAACATTTATTCTACTTAACAATGCCCTGAAGCTTAATGTGCTTGTTCTTGCCAGGATGCCACTCTTCCAAATGAAATATACTTTTTAAAACTCTTTTGGCTACCTTTATCCCCTATTCTTTTATTTTTCCTATTAAAGGCAAAAATGTAGGAACAATTCTGTCCATGATCTTAGAGGTTCTTGGGAGTTTGCAGACAATGAAATGTGTCGGGTTCCTTTTTGTTCATTTTCTGCACTCATCATTCGCCAACAGCCACTAAAATTAAAAAAAAAAAAAAAGGAATTATGCAATGACTACTCTCAGTGACAACCTTGCAGCTGATTTTAAAATTCCCAATAACTTATACAGGTATTTTGAAAGACACAAAGTCAACTTTGTCATTTACAGAGATACATTATCTGGAAAAAATTATATCTTTAAAAGCATTTCTACTTATAGCAGAAAGACTGAAATGAAACACAACTGCCAAATAACTACTAGATTTTGAACAGAAAAAAGGCTTATATGGTAGAGTTAAAGTAAAAATATTCCTAAGCTGAATTTTCCCCTTAGACAGTGTAAATCTTGTATCAAATCCGGTGGTAGTGGGACATGTATATGAGAGCAAAGAATTTACCCCCTCTGCTTGTATAATAGAAAATTAAGATGGTTAAAAATGGCACCCAAAAGATGAATGAATTTCCAAGGAAATAAATTAGGTTTGAAATTACTATTGGAACATATGCATTATACAAAAGATCATGAAATCCATTTCATCTGACATATTGTACAATGAGCTACAAGAACATTTGCAACTGATAGAAGCATGTAAGATCTCATGTATAATTCCTACAATAAAGATTACACTGTAGAAGCCAGATATTACACTTCCAATTGTGACCTACCAACCTGAAGGTCATGAACCAGGGATATGACTTGAGCACCCTGGTCAAGATTTTGAGTTATACTGTGCACCACAGGAGTTAAGAGCCTGTTTCATGTCCCGTGCACATTTACTCACCTGCAGCAACTTTGTCATACAAAGCATAACGAAGAGAAAGAATTAGAACACACATTTGGAACAACTGAGGGAGAAAAATATATCATATAAGGCAGAAGCCATCTTCTACAGGAATTTTTCAACTGCAGGGATAAAATAGCCCAGATTTAAATGACTGTATGTTTTCTTAAAGATCCCAAAGGAAAGCAACATATGGATGCTCTATGTTTAACATAATGAAAAACAAACGCTCAAACCCCACAAAATTCCATTTAAAAAAACCTGAAAACTGCACTCAGAATCAAATGCAATATGTCCAAGAAAATACAGACCTGTCAGGAGCATGGTCTTCTATCCAGAATTATTAAATCTACAAGATGAAAGCAACATTTAGAAAGATTTTTAAAGTGCAAGAAGAGAAATCATAAATACATTTTCCACATTTCTGCAGAAAGCATGTGCTTGAAAAGAATAGTTTTCAGTCAGATGTAGAAAATGCAGATGAAAACAAGAGGAGGATTGTGTGGGATATAACCACACAATGTCTGCAATCTCTTTGTTCAATATACATTATTAGTTTGAATTCAGGACAGACTGACATGTGCTCTGTTTCTCTTTGGTTGCAGTCCCTCTGAAGCCTATGATGTTAGAAATACTTTCTTCCAACATGGTGAAATCTGGAGGTATGATTACTGAATGCAGCTGAGTGGACACAATGCCCAAAAGCCTGAGGAATGCCCTGTTCTTGGCAGTGACCCTGCACCCATCCCAGCAGAGCAGCTTTGGCACTTCCCGCTGGCACACCAGAGCAGCTACTGCTTTTTCCAGCCAGGAATTTTTAAAAAACTTGTATCCAAGGCACCATGCATTTGCTGAGCCCTTAGGAGTCAGCAGTTCTATTAGACTTACTGTAAAATAACTAAAAGCAACAAGGTTCAGGAAGTGTTTGAAAACATATACCCACCCCCTCAGAAAAATATCAAACTTATGTTTAAATTCATTTCTATTAAAAAAAAATCAGTGGGATTTATATGTATATTTTAAGTTGGATATTAAATGAGTACAAAAAGCACAAAAGGTAAATATGAAATAAAAACAAAGTATAGAAGTAGTTTGTAAAACTTATACTGCCGCATTGGGACCCTGGCTCCTGATGGGCTCTTCTGTAGCTTAAAGCAGACCTGGCTGCAGCCATTCTAGGAGTAGTGATGTACACTCCTTTAAGCAAAAGGGCTCTATAGTGCAGTTGGGGATTTGTACTTCAGAGCTGCCTTTAGGGCCAGATTCTGCATCAGAAAATCTATCAATCCTTTACAAAGCTGCAAAAGTACTGACAAGTGTCTAAATTTCTTTATGTTCAAGTAGTTACTCCAATTGAGCAGAGGCTGCATTAAAAATGTCTTTGCAGCCTCCTCTGAGCCTGGCACATGCAGTTGGAAAAATCTCATTTTCTCACTAATGGATATCTTTGTAAGGTAAGGACAGATGGACTTTTCAGAAAACCTTCACAGTCCTCCAGTATTAACAAATTGCTCTGGTAAAATCACAAGAGGCATGAATGTCAAACTTATGTTTAAGGAAAGTCTCCACTACAAGATGGACTAACATACACTTTCTGATGTTATTTAGATTTGTCCCACTCTGCCCAGCCCTGCTGGCACTGCAATGTAAAATAGTCATTTCGGCTATTACAGAGCATCCAAAAGAGAGCAATGGGGCTGGGGAAGGCTCTGGAGGGAAAGCCATGGAGGAGCAGCTGAGCTCAGTGGTTCTGTTCGGCCTGGAGGAGACTGAGGGAGAGCTCACTGCAGTCACAGCTCCCTGTGAGGGAGAGGAGGGGCAGGCCCTGCTCTGCTCTCTCTGGGGACAGGGACAGGCCTGAGGGAATGGCCTGACAGGCCTGAGGGAATGGCCTGAAGCTGTGTCAGGGGAGGTTTAGGCTGGATGTTAGAGAACAGAGGGTGTTTGGGCCCTGGAGCAGGATCCCCAAGGAAGTGGTCACAGCCCCAGCCTGACAGAGCTCAAGAGGTGTTTGGTAAATGCTCTCAGGTACAAGGAGTCGTAATTGGTGGTTTGGGGAGTCCCTTCCAACTCAGCATATTCCATGGTTGGATAGTTCTATGATTTATATTATTATTTCTGTTTGTATTGCAGAATTGATTACTGAACAGTCCCCAGCTGGTAAAGTCTCTCAGATAACACCAGCTCCACTCAGATCTCAGTAAGGGAGCTGGAGGTAAAACATTGCATATCAACAGTGCCAGTGCTGGTTTATTCAACCACTCTTACATAATAAATCTTACATCAGTAACATGCACAATTTATGGCAAACAAATGAGGGATTTCACATGCTGCTCAGATTTGTGTTTACACCAAGGAAGAACACGGCCCATAAATAAGATTGTTTGGGAAACATTTACTGCTGTCATACTGATAATGCATTTTAAATCCTGGGGTTATCAAAAAAATGGATTTTTTTTTCTCTATATTGTTTGACAGCTGAAATTAAACAAATTCTATTGAAGTACAAAGCTAATAGAAGGTTTACTGTGTGTGTCATTAGCACCATCCATATAAGGAAACAGAAAATATGAGGTGTGGATTTTTAAAATATGATAAAATGAGAGCACTATTAGATGCATATGAAGGTGTGACTTCAGGCCAGGCAGTTTCTTATTAGAATCACAGTGACTCTATCTTACATTTGTAAATAATCACTGTTATGTGATTCAAGTTGACATCTTTCAGATTATTTTCTCATGCCAAGAGCATATATTGCATTTGAAATACATTTTAATTGTTAAAGCATCTTAATAAAATATATGACATTCTTTATGTTCAGGCATAGTGGACCCTAAATGATTGACTTAATTTATAAGCCACATATTTTTTAGTTCTTGGTTTAACATTCTGTTATTTACATGGATAATCCCAAAGTTAATATGCTAGATTGTTTAAAATCTTGTATCAGAGCTCAGGCTCAACACAAACATTCCACTGTATTTCATTTTTCTTTCCCTTTCAAGGAAAAATCTGAAATTGTGTTAAATCAAAGCATTCTGGTTCTGTCTGCCTCAAAAATTCTAGAAGACATAAATTCCACAATTTCTTCATAAAGTTTGGATGACTATGTTTTGAAAAATTAACATAATCTTTAAAGATATTTATTTATTAAGCCAATTAGATGAACCTACTGTAATTTTAACCAGAAATCAGAAGCTTAGAAAGTGACAAAAGGTTTTGGTTTGTTCCATTAGATAATGCAGCACACTTTGAAGACTGTCAGTTTTGAAAGGAAAGTATATTTGGAGTGCTTGCTTTGGAATAATAGATAGTGCTAACTTCAAATTTATGTTTAAATGTGACAAACTGTTCAGATGTTTATGTTAGCAAAGTTATGGACAAAATCATGAACATATATACAAATTTAAAGTAAATGAAAAAATGTATTTTTTAAAGATTAAAGTATAAAGGCCAGCTTAGGTCATGAAGAAATTTAGCCCCCATTTTGGGATGGCCTTTTTCAGTGATCCCCAACAATAGGTGTATTTTCATCTCTGCTTCAATATATGCCTTTCTCTGATACATTTAACTGTTCCCCCGTGCTTCTTGTCAGTTTATATCATTTTATCTTAGGTTGACTTTTTTTCTTATGTTTCGCCCATGATTATCTTCCATTTGTTAGTTTTTGTTAGAGAGCTGCCAGGCCAGAAATACTTCTCATCTACATAAAGGGAATTTTAAAATGCTTATTTCTCATAGTTAAACTCCCTAACATCTCCAGCTTTTCTTTCTGTGTTTCTGAGATGCAAATGCTCAAGGCAGAATATGTGTGCTACATGTGCTGATGCAACCTTTATGAAAGAGGTGCAAATATTTTACAGCTCGCTATTGTGACAGATGTATTTGCATGTGTTACAGTAGCTCCAGTCCATTCTCAAATGCACTTGCTTCAATGCCCTTGAATTTGAACATTAAATGGTTAAAAATAGTTAAAATTGGCTTGCAGGTTTGGTTTTTTTTTCTTAAAGCAGTATAACTGCTAGTTGTTAGTGGATTAACAAACACCAAACCTGAATACTTATAATTTAGGCATCAACTACATACGTGCTTTAAGAGAAGAAATATTTTCTAAAGTTGGTTTTCCATGCGGGGAAAAAAGAAAAACCTTCCCTTACAGAAAATATAGATTTTTCAGAATTCCAAAGCTTACAAAAGAAAGAAACTTTTAGCAAAGTAGAACTATCTGGAAGCTTCAGGAGAACTGAATGATGTGATTGGCAACCTGCATTCTGTTACTTTTATGTTTATGTACACTTCTATGCCTGCAGCACATAAATACTGTTTGTTAAACTTCTGTTGTTATGGCAAGTGGAAATCACTGCAAAAACATGTAAGCATGATAGGCAGTTTCTGAGTAAAAGTAGCCACCCATAACTTTCAAAACAGTTCTTTAGAAAGTGGTCTACATTTCTACTGATCAGTCATATTTTTTGATGACATTCTACCTCATTGAAAGACATTTCCCTCAAGTAAATTATATCAAATTAAAACTTCTGCTGATATTATTAATAAAGTCAGATATGTTGCACAGAAAAACAACAAAAAAAAGTGTTGTTTTCAATTTTAATTAAGGAAAAAGACTACAAATATTTTTTGCATAGAAAAATCTAAAATAAATGTAGAACTAAATATTTATCTCTTATAAAATGTAAATAAATTATTTATATAAAAACCATAAAAAAGGAAGACTCCAGCTCATACCAAAGCATTCTAATAGTTTGCAAATAAGCACTTGCAACTGGGAATAGATGCATATGGTCAAACTACAAGTCCATCTATCTAGCAAGTATCCTGCATCTGACCTGGTTTAAAAGAGATGTCAAAAAAATAGCACAAGATAATTCATAGGAAACAAGCACATTCTCCTAGAAAACTGTCCAAGCTATCAACTATTTCTGCCTCAAAGACTTTTAAAGCCAGCCTTTCATGCTCAGTTTTGTCCTGACCCCTGATGGAGTGTTACATGACTTGTGAAGTTCCTAAGGGTGAGAGATAGACGAGAATCTTGCTTCATGATCAGAAGGCTGGTTTTATTGATTTATTATATATAATACATTATGACTATACTAATAGGAATAGAGAGAAAAGTTCAGAAGCTGCTAAGCTAAGAATAGAATAGAAATCTAAAAACAAGAGAGCTCTCTGTGAATCTGTTCCAGAGAGCTTGGTCCTGTGATTGTCCCTTAATTGTGAACATGGAACATGAGCCAATCACAGGTGCACCTATTGCATTCCACATCAGCAGATAATTATTGTTTACATTCTCTTTCTGGGGCCTCAACTTCCCAGAAGAGGAAAATTACTAAAAGAAAGGATCTTTAAGAAAAAATGTCCGTGACAATGGAGTCCCAGCATCTGCCCCGTGCTCTGGAGCGGGGCTGCAGTGCCCATGGGGCAGCTCTGTCCCCGTGCTTATCCTGACACCTGCGCCATTCCCTTGGCACCCCTGTGGCTCCTACTCGAGTGAGGCAGCCCAGTCACTCCTGCTCTTCCCTTCCATGCTGCATTAGATCATACTCTTTTCTATAATACACGTGTGGCTGTAGATTTTCTTTCTTCCAACTTGAAGAGTCCCAGCCTACAAAAATGTCCTGCATTGGGAAGTTGTTCCACACTGT